GTGGCTGTTGGGCGTTAGCTGGCAGGGGGCCAACCCCACAAATCTCAGATACTCCAAGAGAAAAGGATGGAGCGGGAACCGAAGCCCCATCTCTACCGAGAGGGTGTGAGCAGCAAAACACCCCTCGGGCGCATATCGCAGCAAATCATCCGCCCTGGGCTCCACCACGCGCGCCGAAGGGCCAACCAGCATCTGGGTGGACTGGTATTCTGCCGGGGACGCCTTCGTCTTCAGCTCTAGAGCGGCAGTATTCAGGAACGAATGGCCCTCGGGTATGCCCACCGGTCGCCCAGCATCAACTGCCGCTTGCTTCTTCCTTGGGGCCGCCTTCATCTTGTTTTTCTTCCCGGGAGCCACACTTATGGGCGTCGGATCCAATGGCCGGGAGGAGCTGGCTTCCCCGGCACCCCAAGGGGGAGGAATGGCGACCGTCACCTTCAGCCTCTCCCTCTCCTCTTCTTGCTCGGCGGTTTGCACGGCGAGGGCAAGCTCTTCATCCTCGTTTTCTTGCTCGAAGCCCTCGGCTTCGACTTCGGCCTGGAGGTCCTTCTCCACTTCCATGGCCACTGCGGCATCACCACCCGCCGAGGACTCCACGCTCGAAGACTCCACATCTGAGCATGTCTCCATCTCTACCGAAGGCTCCCCCGAGATATCCTGGGAGTCGCTCTGTGATGACATCTGCTCACTAATTCGAAGGCTCGGGGAAACTAAGGTTTCCTAGAATATCCTATCTCCTTGCCTAAGGGCACAATACATGTAGCTAAGAGGTGAAGGGCAAGTGGAGAACTGACCTTAAGAACAGAGGATTCAACCGAGGGCTGCTGTTTCTCTCTCTAGAAAAATTGGCAGAGCTTCGCTAACAAGGTTTTCGCACACGGAGGAATGCCTGGCCTTGGGGTATTTATAGGCGCTGGAATCCGGGCTTGGGCCCGGAAACCGGGCCTCCGGACGGACCGTCATCATTACGCACCGTGTTTTCACCCAACCGGTGACGCCGCCCACGGGCAGCCAACCATCACGCGCCACGTGTACCCCCCCCAACGGCTATATCCTGACGTTACATATTCCAACGGCTATATTTCCAACGGCTATATTCTGGAAGCCCCCGGGTTTTCTACTTCACTCCACTTCGTCAAGGAGAGCCTCCGGGTACACTTACCCAGAGACGCCCCCGGGTTGTGCCCCACACAGCACATAATAGACGCCTTCGGGGTCACTCCTTCAGAAACCCAAGGTTTCATATCATGGGACCCCTCGGGGATTCCTCCTCAGCACTGTAAGAACCAGGTAGCCCCCGGGGAGTTGCCTCATTGATGGATAGTCCATGGCACACAGGTAATGGGAGCCCCCGGGTATCTTCATCACCAACTAATCAACAAACAGTGGGCCCCCCGGTAACGACTCCACTGCTGCCCTCATCCAGCAGGCCCTCGATCCCCGGATTGAGGGGCTCCCCTCCGGCACCCCCAGGACATCAACAGCAAGCCTTCGGCTAATCAACACATGAGCACTCAGAAGAAGAAGAGCCTTCGGCATTACCGTTATTCTCCAGTTTTTTTTACCAAGGTTTGACATTTTCGATTCATCATTGGGGGAATCCGGTGCACTCTTTTTCCCTCATTAGGATTTTTTCCCACAGGGTTTTTTCTAATGAGGTTTTTAACGAGGCATCCCCCCAAAATGAAACGAAAAGCGTCAGCCTTCAGCCCACAACAACAACGCAACTACTCTACTCCTTTTCACCACTTTACAAGTGCCTCAAGGAGTGGGGGACTGGAGGACCCCCTCGGGAAAATCATTAAATAACAAAATTAGTGAAATTCCAACAAACGACAAAGCAAGCCCTCAAGTCCCGACATGTGGGTAACTGAGGGACTGCCTTCGGCAGGGACATAAAAGCAACAACCCCTCACCAACTTCAAAGATCACGACAGGACAACATCAAAGGGCAAGCACATATTACTCCTTTTCCCTCAAATACCTTTAGGCAAAAGGAGTGAGGGACTCCTGATGGAGTATATGGCCCGGGAACACCCGGCCCACAGACTCCTACTACACCAACGAAGGCCCAACAGGCCCAGGAGGCCCACCAGGCCCAAATCACGGCGTCCAGATTACCAAGCAGCCCGCAATACGCACCAGGGGTGCCCTCGCCCCCTGGCTAAAGGCTCTAAACTCTCACAGAATGGGTTTTCCAGGCAAACTAAGAAACTGGGAGAAAACGGCGAAAACAGTAGCCCTCGGCACTATGAGCCCTCGGCACCAGGGTGCCATCGGTTTGAGGAGCCCTCGGCTACTTCTCTATAGCCGAAGGCATCTCACTCGACAAGATATCCGCCTCACATGCGTACAGATCACCGTACCCCGCACAGACGTCCCATCCAACAGCCGCATTAAATGCGGCCACATGCGGCTGTCAGCGCCAACCAGTTGAGGTGACCCCTCGGCCAATGGGCGCTTGACACGTGTCCCTGTCCGCATTTATTGCTACTATAAATAGCACCCCATTTCCCCGTTTGTAACCACGACATTCATACTGAATACACTCTCTCTCTACATTTACTTACTTGCTCTGACTTTTCTCTAGGTTATTCCCCGCAATAACCCTTCGGATATATACCCCCGGGTAGACTATCCATCAAAAACATAATAGTAATAATTGCAACTAGAAAAGTTGCGTTATTAAAACAATTTTTTTTTATAAACTTACTTAAAACCATGGAGAAACCAACCCCGTTGACCAAAGAAAGAAAAGCTGAAGATGAGTTTTACGAAGAAGATGAAGAAAAGCGGAAGAATAGGAACAAGAGAGGAAGAATGGCGGAAGAGTTTTAGGAATAGGTTGCTGCAGTGCAATTAATTCAGCGGATTTAGTGGCATAAGATTATAACGTTAATGGAAAGAATCCAAAATGACCTTAAAGCCCATGGTCGAACATTTAAAAATAAAAACAAAAAAAAACAGATCTTAGGGCTGTCATTTTTTCTCACTTGAACCTAAATCTCTCTCTCTCTCTCTCTCTCTCTATATATATATATATATATATATATATATATATATATATATATTCATGGAGAACATGCTCATAAAAATTCATCAAAAAATTCGACTCGGAAGCAACTCAAATGAAAGTGACCTAAAATTTTAAGTTTTAGACTTACCTTACATGACCATTACATACATACATACATACATACATACATACATACATACATACATACATACATACATACATACATACATACATACATACATACATACATACATACATACATACATACATACATACATACATACATACATACATACATACATACATACATACATACATACATACATACATACATACATACATACATACATACATACATACATACATACATACATACATACATACATACATACATACATACATACATACATACATACATACATACATACATACATACACACACATATATGTGTGTGTGTGTTCTATTTAATCACTTTTTCACTTTTAAAACTGATATAACATTTATGATAACTATTTTTAGTCATTACTTAATATTCTAAAATATAATATGTATTAGTTGATTAACCATGATTAAAACACATACATGTATGGTATGTCTATATGTACATGTATGTCTTTATTATATACAACATATAATTTAATCAAATGTCTTTACACATTATTTATTTATGTGTGTGTGTGTGTATTTACAATGGGGGCGGGGCGGGGGTAGGGCAGGTGTAGCAATCCTTATCCCCTGCCCCATATTTTAACGGGGTTAAAATATCCCCCATCCCCACCCCCACCCGCCCCAATCCCCACCCCAAGCCCGGCCCCATCCTTCCCCACGGGTCCCCGCCCCCATTGCCATCCTTACTCACAAAGAGTCATCCCAAACCTGAGGGCCCATCTGCTCCACACATGATTCTTGTTAGAGGGGTTGTAATCCAAACCATTACTCATTTGGTCTATCATAGAGTTGTTTGTTAACTTCTTTGAACAAATAAAAGCTGACATATGCAGTTAGAAAATAATAAACAATCTTAAAGCTCGATACTTTTAATAAATATAATCCCTGAAGTTCAACTTTTGTTCAAAAAGAGTGAACCCTCTAAAGTTTTGTAGACTTAGAGACCATTTGATGGCCCTATTTTTCAGTTTATGAGGCTTATCAATCAATTTTATCACCAAACACATAACTTTTGAATTCGTGCAATGAGTTTGTAATAATAAGAAAAAGTAAGGTTGAAGTTACTTTTCTTGGGGCCGAAGCTACTGTAGATGACCATTTTAGCTATTTTCATGCAATTTTTTCTTTATTTTATTAATAAAATAAATTTTAAATATACTTTTTTTCATAAATCAACAGAAGCAGCTAGTCCAACCACTTCAACCTGAACTTCAACAAAATTAGCCGATTCAGTCATTTTCGGTGTTACCAAATAGGCTCTTATGCATTCTTTTATTGTAGATTAAAGATTGAATCTTTGATTTCTAATGAGATGCTTCTTGATCTAAAATATTTGAATAGTTTTTGGTGGAGCTAGGGAGGACTTAAATTAGGCCCCCTCATATATAGCACCATTGCACACCATTTCTCACAAATGGTTTCCTTCAATACAAACCCGAAAAGGTATAGGCTTAGCGTCCTGGCCCACCCAAGCTCGCTAAAAAAAGTTCTTCCCAGTTTAAAATTAGATTACTGCTTTTTGAAATTCTTGAAATGTAATTTAGTAACTTTCTTACTGCATTATTTTCCTAATTTGAGCTGAAGTTTCAGGCATCATTTCGTAATCACTTCTAACTTATTGTGCTTATTTTGATTATAAGTTGTATTAGTAGCTTTTGACATACTTATAGCTTAAATATATGCTACCAAACTCTTCTCTTGGAAATTTCAGCCACTTTAGCCAAGCCCCCTTCAAACATGCTCTTAGTTTCTCTAGTTAATGGTAAATATAGCTGCAAATGTTATATAGGATCACTATCCAATCTCACTCTCAAGTTTCAGGTTTGCAAAGGATTTGGAGATGTTTGAGATCTGAATCATTTCAGGCTTTGGTTGGCCAAAAAGCGGTTTATGAGATTGTGATAAACAGTGTTTGGTTAGTTGTCTTTCAAGATGTGGAGATCCATTTGGAATGCCATCACAAGCTTTGGCAGGAAGAAGAGCACGGTTGAGCCAAGCACTGCCTATAATGAATTCTCAGACGACGATGACATGGGCTCCAATGATAGCATCGACGAAGTCTTAGAATGCCCAATATGTTGCGAATCTTTCAACATTGTAGAGAATGTTCCCTATGTCTTATGGTGTGGACACACCATATGCAAGAATTGCCTCTTGGGACTAAAACGGGCTGCTCTGAAGATCTCCACAACCCAACAAATCCAAATCCCGTTCTTCATCTCCTGCCCTTGGTGCAACTTGTTGACCCTTCGACTCGTTTTCCATGGAATCCTTAAAGCCCCCAACAAAAACTACTTCCTCCTTTGGATGGTGGAGAGCAGGAATGGCAACCGCTTCGGGTCCCACAAATGCACAAATCACCGGAATGTGTGGACCCCTTTGCGCGTGAACTCCACCACCATCTCGAATGCCAATTCTTCGTTTGTTGTTGGTGGTGGTGACATAAATCGCGTAGTCATGAACAGTGGTGGAGGCGTCCGTGGTGCTAGGGGTGCTTATAGGAGACGACCACAGTTTTCTCTTCACAAATCCATTGACTTCTTCATTCGTTTCATATCGAGATTCCCATTGGTACTTGTGCTTGTTTTTATGGTTATCTTTACCATTCCTTGCAGCATTGTCATTCTTATGTTGTACTTTGCTATCACAATCCTCTTTGCGGTCCCCACTTCCATGGTAATGTATTTTGCATACCCAACTTTGGATTGGTTGGTGAGAGAGATAAGCAGCTGAGAATATGTTCCTGTCATCTATCTTGTGAAGTTTTTTTGCTGTGTCCAATCAGACTCCAATAAAACTCTGTAATATCAACTTTATAATCATTAGTTTTTTAGTTGATCTTTTTGTATAAAGGATGATGGTATACATATGTGTCTTTGATTGAAGGGAATCCATGCCTGAACACTATTTTGGAGACTTAGGCCCCCTTTGATTAGCATAAATATATTTTCTGGATTTTCTTGTATTTGGACATTTTTTGCATTCTTCTCAGTCTAGTTATACACAATTACACCCACTCACGTGACATATATATAGTGGTTTTTCTATAATATTTCGAAGGGAAATGATAGAGTTCCCCGTACTAAAAAGAAAAGGTTAATTTTTCAAGAAAATGATTTATCAACGTATCAATCTTTTATCTTATTGCAAGCCAACGAACCCAAAAATAATTTTCTTGATTTCTGAAGGTGAACTCTTTAAATTCGGAATCGAGAATGAAACTAGGCAGTAACCAGTGATTTTTTAAATCTATGATTAAAACCAGTGAACCGGTACTAAAACGTTTCTTGATTCAATGACTAATTAACCGAATTAAACAAAAGAAAAATGTAAACAAATGCTATTGGTTCCTGCTACTAAGAAACAAATAAAACCTAAGAAAAATAAGAGAAATGATACTTTCTAAGCATAAGCAGGGGCTTCAAAGCCTTTGAGGGTGGCAAAGACAATGGAATCAGGTTGAACCGTGATGGGCAAGGTAGGGTCAACCAACTTTGGGTTCAAAGTGGGAATATCATAATCTTTCGTAAGCTTCAATGGAGTTCCATTTAGTAGAACAATATCAGTCTGGATGTTCCTTCCTTCTGGGGTCAGATGGTATTCTTCCCGCTCAGGCATATTGTCAATACTTTGAAGACTTTGAGAAGTCCCGAGATTCATGTCATTCCCAGGGTACAAATTCATATCATTTATGGGGAAGACCTCAAAGGTTGTGGAATTTGACAAATTTATCAATAGTGAAGCTATCCCGCTTTGAAACAAACAAACACAGAAATGAACAACTACATACACATAACTCAATCCAAATTATTTAATATCGGTAAATAATTTGTAGGTATTTCATGATGTTTTTAATTGGACTAAAATTTTCTGGTTTGATCTGGACACTGAATTTTTACATTTGATCTAATATGGTATGGTCCGATAAATATCCCTTGTATTGTATTTTAAAAACCATCATCAACTTACTTTTGCATTATGGTGACTTTTAGCCTTTCATATCAACGATTGGACTTATTTGAAAAAGTCATCTTTTGTCCAAACTACACTTTGCTTCAAGTGGTGTTAGGACTTGGGACATATAAAAGCTATTTTCAACGCAAAAAGCAATACCAAGTGGAACCTCAGTAAGTCAATAAATATAATATTGTTTGGTTTGAGATTAATTAAGGTATGGTATTATTTATTCTATTATTATTATCTAGAACAATGAGTGTAAGCACGGAGGTAAGGAGAGATATTGTGGGATACAACCAATACTTTCTTGCCCATCAAGCGATTCCACAAGAGGGCACCATAATAAGCTGGATTTGGGATGAAAGTTGTTGTGTTCAGCAGAGCATAGTTTCTACCAACCAAAGCTTGTCTACAGAACACCTTGTGGTTGAAGGTTGATGTCATTCCTAGTTGATCCAAGTACCTATAGAGTAAAATTTTGTAATTCTTCTCTTAGCTATACTCATAATATGGGTGTTAAGATAGTAAAATTGTGTGAAAACAAAAGTTACCATACTAAATTTAAATGAGATACTCCCTCCAACGCAAATTAAAGTTGTTGTATGGTGAAATGTCTGTATATGCTACATCTAAAGTTCTTTTACAACTTTCAATGAGGTCGGATGAAAAAAATCGGTACAATGTCAAATTTTCCATTCTTTATTTTTTGATATCTGAATCCAAACAAAAAACAACTACACGAGAAATTGCACAAGAGGTTTTACCAGAATCCATCAGCAAAGTAATGAGAAATGTCTTTACCACCGCTTTTGTAAGCACCACTCGATTCTCCTACCCAAGCTTCGGTCCATGGGCAGAAACGTTGGACGCTGGTGGAGACATTCGTGTATGTCTTGGCAACCTAGTCAAGATAATATGGGTCTTGGATCTTATTGATCAGATTTTTGTCATCTCCTACAAAACAACAATGTGAGTTCAACTCTCTTAATTCAACCACAAGAGTTTAATACTCCAGAAAGCATTCAGAACATTAAATGCATTTTATTTCCAAAACAAAATGACTTATGAAAAAAAAATTAGTTCCATCATGTCCAAAATGACTTGTGGCGAAATGCATGTCATTTTCAGTAAGTTAAAAATACTAAAAATGGGGAGAGAAGTTAAATAAAATGTAGACAGTTAATATGTAAAATAAATGCACTTTCTCTATCACCCTTCAATTTTGTAAAACACTAATGCTCTATAAATCTGATTCCAAACCTGATCCAAGGTTGTAGAGGTGGTGTGTCAAAGATTCAATAACATTAGGACCCGCGGTTTGAAGGAAGGTGTTAAACCACTTCTCCTCATAAAATCCACGAGGACCCAAAACCTTTGGTTGGGTTGTAGGATCCGGGTGAATCTCTTCAACAAACTTCTTAAGAGTCATCATATCTTTTGCATATTGATCTGCCTCTACTCTTGTGGCGACTCCAATGCCACACAATTCATTCCCTGCAATAAATATCACAATGAAGTATTTTTCTACAAGAAATGTAGAAAGTCATGTTTTGTAAAGGCTTGATCCGCAATTAAGGAAAATAAATATTTGATTATGTATTAATATATGTAGAAGGTTCTTTTGGTAATTTAAAATATGAAATCAATTTACAAAAGGATGACACCCCATTCCTAACAGATAATTAACTAAAATAATGCAAGTTTGACTTTAATAACAAACTTTAATGGCAGGTAGCAAGTGAGGTTCTGCCCCCAAGTACTTACCAAGGCCGGCCCTATGAATTTTTACATAGTAATTTCTCATCGCAGTTAAGAGGATTTAAAATCGGGACTTACCATTTGCGGCACCCTTATCTAACTATTGAACTACTTTCATCTGCTAAATCAATTCACAAGTTCTAGAGATGAAACTACTAGTCATATTATGGTATGAAAGCCAAGATGCTATTGTGATTTGATTATTTGTCTCATCATTTTGTCTCATTGAGTTTACAACAATTAAATAAGAGTTCAATTAATCTTACCAAGTTCATATGAATCAACTTTATACCCCTGTGGCACAGTGTATTCCATAAGATCCCTAGCATTTTGGGAGTTCCAATCACCCACCCAAAGGGTTGTACCGTTTTTAGACTTTTGCCTTCCCAATAAAGCGTTCAAGCTGAAAGTCATAATAGCACTGCACACACAAGACATTTGTAATTAATTACTTAAACATTATATACTACGTACATAAATAGAATGCGATCTCAATGAGAATAATGCTTAATCTGAGAAAATTTATATTTAACTCAACATGATGCACAATAGAGATCTTATGATGCACCTTTTAACTTTGCTCAGACCAAGTCAATATTAAATATTTGTGGTGGCATTTTGGTAAATATAATGCTATAAGTTTGGGAGAATAGAATTGATTGATTTATTCCATCACTCGGTTACAATATATATATATATATATATATATATATATATAGGATACAAGTCTAACAGTCCAAATGATGAGATCCTAAAAATTAGGATCTGACTACCTAACCATACTTATCTAATACGTGTGAGTAAATTACATCAGATAAGACTAAGTATTCTAATTTATCTACAACTAACTCGACTGTACATTTTAACACTCCCCCTCAAGTTGGTGAATATATATCATACATTCCCAACTTGCTTACTAGTTGTTCAAACACTGGTTTGAACAATCCTTTCGTTAGAATATCAGCAGTTTGATCCTTGGTAGGCACAAATGGTATACACACAGTTCCAGCTTCAATGTTCTCTTTGATAAAGTGTCTGTCCACTTCAATGTGCTTTGTTCTGTCATGTAGGACTGGATTGTGTGCAATGCTCATAGCTGCCTTGTTGTCACAATATAGTCTCATAGGTAACTCCAATTCCATATTTAGTTCTTTGATCACTCTCTTGATCCAAAGAAGTTCACATATACCATTGGCCATTGATCTGAATTCTGCTTCTGCACTGCTTCTAGCTACCACATTCTGTTTCTTACTTCTCCAAGTCACTAGGTTTCCCCATACATAAGTGCAGTACCCTGAAGTAGATCTTCTATCACTCACTGATCCTGCATAATCAACATCTGTAAAGGCCTCTACTGCCCTACTATGGTTCTTTTTGAAGAACAATCCTTTTCCAGGACAACTTTTCAAATACCTAAGAATTCTGTAAGTTGCCTCAAGATGTTTTTTATATGGACAGTGCATAAACTGACTTACCATGCTAACTGTAAAAGCAATATCAGGTCTGGTATGTGCTAAGTAGATAAGTCTTCCTACCAATATCTGATATTGTTGCACATTGACTGGAACCCCATCTCTGACATCTCCTAACTTCTGATTTGGATCTATAGGAGTGTCATCTGGTTTACATGCACTCATCCTTGTTTCTTGAAGAAGATCCAAAACATACTTCCTTTGAGATACAATAATTCCCTCTTTTGATCTAGATATTTCCATGCCAAGAAAGTATTTCAACTCTCCCAGATCTTTGACCTCAAATTCAGTAGCAAGTTTTCTCTTCAGGTTTTGTGTTTCTGCATAAAAGTCTCCTGTAATGATAATATCATCTACATAGACAATTAATATAGCAATCTCCCTCTTACTTGAGCATTTTATAAATAAAGTATGTCCAGCTTGGGCCTGTTTATATCCTTGTTTTTTAACAAACTGTGTGAACCTATCAAACCAAGCCCTTGGGGACTGTTCGAGTCCATACAGAGATTTTTCCAGCTTACATACTCTTGAACCAAACCTGCTTTCAAACCCAGGAGGAGGATTCATGTAAACTGCCTCCTCAAGTTTTCCATTTAGAAAAGCATTCTTCACATCCAACTGTTGAAGAGGCCAATCTAAATTTGCAGTAATAGATAGAAGAATTCTGATAGTATTCAACTTTGCAACTGGTGCAAAGGTCTCAGTTTAGTCTATTCCATAAGTTTGTGTATAACCTTTGGCAACTATCCTT